ACGTTGTCTATCATTACCTTGTATGCACGAGAAATAAGAAAAAAAGAAAGAAAGAAAGAAAAACAAACAAACAAACGAACGAACAAAAATAAAAAACTGATCCAATAAAAAAGAATAAACGAAGAAACAAAAAAACAAAAAAAAAACAGGAAAGAAAAGAAAAGAAAAGAGAGAAAATCGCATACAAAAAAGAAAAAGAAAAAATACAAAAAATTGATCGGAGAACAAATTAGAAAGATAATGGATAGCGCGACGAATATAACGGATGGGATTGAAAGTATCGAAAAAAAACAAAAAAAAACAAAAAAAAAACAAAAAAAAAAAAGAACAAAAAAAAAATAAAAGAAAAAAAGAAAAACGAAAAAAAAGAAAAAAAAGATTTATCGATACTCTCATATCTATCGTTTATTAATACAAAATATTTTATCTAAATAAAAACATCGAGGTACGTTCGTCGACGTTTATTCGCCTAAGAAAAACTAGTTCCTTACGCGTTCAAGATGTTCTCCCTAGTGATTACTATACGGGTTCTTAAAGTAGCCAATGACCATCGGTACCGTTTCGATTATGCTGTCACACGGTAAGAGAGAATACGGTAGTATTGGTAATGGTGGTTTATAAAAGGGACGTAGGTAGGTGGACGACGGTTGAAGGACTAGATTGAGAGAAAAAAAGGGGAAATAAAGTTGAGGTGGGGGATGAGAGGGGGGAGGGAGGTATGGGAGGAAGAATAAGGAAAGCAAGTGAAAGAAGGAGAGGGGTGAGGTTTTATCGAGCGAACCTTTCGATCGAATTCGATATGTCGGATCGTATTGAAAAGTGTACGATTAAAAAGATTGGATAACGTATGTGTAACTACTACCATTGGATTATTTATCATAGTCATTTATGTATGATGTAGTAGGGATAAGTAAGGGAGGAAGAGGTTATAACGAACATCTGTGCTATGCGACATTGTGTTACACGGGATCGCACAGCGGGAAGAAATCTGTACCCAACTACAAAATATATACAGATCGGAGTCGTTTAAAACGTGCATTGTTCTACAATCCATCCCTACTTCGTCCCTCTATCGTCCCTACCACCTATCCCTCTTCAACTCCAACCCTCTTTAACCCTCTTTTCCCCTACCACAATCCTATCCCCTCCTACGTTCACTCCATCCACGACTGCGGTCGTGTACAATATGTATGACGTTAAGTCTCGTTGCACGATTGATAGCAACTACAATAATAGAAAAGTATTGCTCTTTGGGTTGTTGTTTCAATTTTAAAATCGAATGGTATATAAAATGATAGGAATTATTGACGACGTTTAAATCGCAAATGTATTTGACTCATTTAATTTAGTACTTTGGTATGAATTATATGATTACATTCAGTTCGTATTTTTTATTATTTATTTTTCTTTTTTTTTTTTTTATTATTTATTTTTCGAAGTTTTCATTATTTTTATTGTTATACTTTTTATTTATTTATTTATTTATTTATTTAGTTAGTTAGTTAGTTAGATAGTTATGATTTTTTTTTTTTTTTTATTATTTATTTTTCGAAGTTTTCATTATTTTTATTGTTATACTTTTTATTTATTTATTTATTTATTTATTTAGTTAGTTAGTTAGTTAGATAGTTATGATTTTTTTTTTTTTTTTTTTTTTATTATGATCCATCGATCTTTACTTCTTTTATCAGTATTGTGTATGCGTGTATGATTGTGTTAAATATTTGTCTATATATAAATATGTTTATATGCGTATAGACACGCAGACACACGTGTATATATATATATGAATACACACAAACACACATAAGAAAATTTTAAAATTATAAAAATCTATGTAAGGATGTATAATATTTCAAGTGTAATTGAAACATTGTTAAAATTGTGACAATTGTTTTCTTTTCTTTTTTTTCCTTTTTTTTTTCATTTTCCTTCAAATAACGCTTTTACTTATACGAATGAAATGATCGAATGAATTGCTAAGATTTTGTTAGAAAAAATTAAAAAAAAAAAAAAAAAAAAAAACAGAATTTCGTTTGGTAAACTTCATTCGGGATATGTGGAGAAAATATTAAATAAATATAAAAAAAATGAAAAAAAAAATAAAAGAGGAAAGAAAAAACAAAACAAAACAAAACAAAACAAAACAAAACAAAACCAAACAAAACAAAAACCAAAGCATTTAGTTTGTATGTATCGCGTGCACGTGCTACTAACTGATGGAAAGACGAAACTTAAATGATCTGAAACAGTGTAGAACATATTTCGTGTTTGCGATGTCGTTATTACATCGTTTAGTTGAACGTATCCGTACCTTCCGCAAACGCGCCGCTTATTTATTATTTCAAAGAAAACTGAAACAGAGAAGAGATATGCGAGACCTTGGACCGAGAATCGTGGTCCCTTAAACGTCGCGTGTATGAGAGAAATTATAAGGCTTCGCGGTTAACATGACTCTTCGCGGTACCCGACGAAACGAGGAAACTTCTTCGAATGCCCTTAACCATAGGAAAGTATGTAATTTTGAGATAAACTTCGTAACGATGTATTTTCTTCTTTTTCTTTTTTTTTTCTTTTTTTTTCTTTTTTTTTCTTTCTTTTTTTAATTTCTCCTTTTACTTATTTTTCTCTTTTTATTTATTTTCCTTTTCCGTTTTCTTTCTTTTTCTTTTTTTTTTCTTTCTTTTTTTTTACATGCAACCGTTATTTCCCATATAGATTGTCAACGGTGAAAGTAACGTAGATGGAAGAAAGGAGAGAAAATAAAAAGAAAATAAATAAGTTTTGAATTTTTCTCGTTATTTTAATCTATCTGGTTTAATAATAATAATAAAAATAATAATAATAATAATAATAATAATAATAATAATAATAATAATAATGATAATAATAATAATAATAATAATAATGATAATAATGATAATAATGATAACGAAATTTCGTGATAAACTTTGTGACGAAAGGTATTTGTTTTTCAACATAAATATATATATATGGTTATTTCTTTATATAAACTGTCAAGATTGAAAATAACATAGATACAAAAAAAAAAAAAAAAAAAAGAAATAAAAATAAAAATAAAAAAAGAAAGTTTGAAATTTTCTCGTCATTCATTCTATCCAGTTTAACAATAAAAATAATAATGTAATTTCATGATAAACTTTGTAACGAAAAGTATTTTTTTTTTCCAACATAAATATTTATATAATAATTATTTGCCATATAAATGGTCAAGGTTGAAATTAATATCAATAGAGGGAGAAAAAAAAAAAAGAAGATTTCAATTTTTCTTGTTATGTAATCTATCCAGTTTAATAATAATAATTATGTAATTTCATGATAAACTTTGTGACGAAAAGAATCTGATTTTTTTTTTTTTTTTTTTTTTTTTTGTAATATATATATAATAATTATTTGGCCATAGTTTATGGTGCGTGGAAGTAACATCGGTAAACGATATTTTTTTTTTTTTCAATTTCTTTCATCGCTTAATATCTATATTGACGATAACGTAAATAATAATGTAATTTTGAGAAAATTTTGTAAAAAATTAACATCCTCATTTTTCATCATATAATCGATAGATTTTCCCCATAAATTTTCAATATTTTTTTTTGCTTATCTTCTATTTTATATATATATAATCTATTAATAATAAAATAATTAATAGTTTAATTTTGCGATAACTTTGTCATCAAATTTTTATTCTTCCTTCTTTTTCTTTTTTTTTTAATTATATAAATAATCTTTATTTCCCATAAGTCATCGAGATTGAGAATAACGTTTAAAAGTAGTTTTAAATTTATCTGGTTATTTAATACATCTATTAATAATAATGTAAAGAATAATTTTGATTTAAAACTTCAGATCAAAATACTTTTTTCTATTATAATATAAACGATTAGAGTAACATCGATATAAATGAATATAAATTTTTCTATAACTTAATCGATCTATTTATAAGAAAATTATATAATAATACTTACGCCCTGAAGATAGTTGATTTTATCCGTGACATCGTTTCGAATCGCATGATCCATGGGATGAGAAGACATCGTTGAATATATAATAAAAACATCAAAGATGAGAAATCATGATCGAAAAGTCTCAGCATACTTTACGGTTTCAAACATTAATTTTCTTTTTTCTGTTCTTTTTTCTTTCCTTTTTTTTTTTTCTTATTCAAGAAATATTACAAACATTAATAATAATTTAGACCTTTTTTTTTTGCACTATAATTCTTCTAATTTGTTTTCTCAATTATCATAATTTTTGCACCATTATTTTGCACTAAATTTCAAACTATCATTTTCCTTGTATCTTCAAACTATTATTTTTCTAATTATGAAAAACTCATTCATTATATTATAATTTCTTTTTTTTTTTTTTTTTTTTTATATTAAAAATCTCGACTTCGCTATAATAATTTTAATGAGATACAAAACGACTATAGTAATTTTCAATCGAAAATATTCATTCGCTATAATGTATCAAACGTTAATAATTACTTTATCGAAAAATGTCTACATTATTGTGTTAATTTATTAATTAAAAATTAGATATAAAATTATTGAGATAATATTCGAAAAAGAAAATATTTTTTTACTCTACCGTATTATACACTGATATATATATATATATATATATATATATATATATGTTTAATTAAAAATTTCGACGTCACTTATTAATCGATCAAATAATTAAAATTTCGAAGCAATTTTTTTAACGAAACTTTTTCACGTGATTTACATTAATAATAATTTCTATAAAAGAAAAGAAAAGAAAACAAAACTAAAAAAAAAAAAAAAAGAAAATTGATACGTATTATCGTTTCGTTGTTTACGTCATAGTGCAAAAATTATTGTTAATATATAAATCATAGTTTATTATAAATCATAAATCGTAATCTATAGAATATAACATCGCAAGAAACTTTTCGATTTCTGTAAAAATCTCATTAAATTTCGAGATCGTTGATCGTAATAATCCATACTCACGGATGTTGGATCCTGAAACAGAGAAAGAAAGTACCAATCGAGTTAGCAATTAAAATTGAAGCGTTGAAAATCTGTAGACCGTCATAACACGGTCAATCTTCGATTTCAAGGATCGATTATGATCAAGGAAAGAATTCTTTTTTTTCTTTCATTTCATTTCATTTCTTTTCCATTCTTTTTTGTTCGTCTTTTTTGAACGTCTGACATTTTAAAAATACCTTTAACGGAGTAGACACGCGTGGAAAGAAGAAAAAAAAACAAAAAACAAAAAACAAAAAAAAAAAAGGGTGGAGGGAAATTCGAAAAAGAAAAAGCGGATAGAATTTAGATAGAATAGAGAATAAAAAGTAAAAAAAAAAAAAAAAAAAAAAGAACAAAAGAGGGAATGAAAAAAGAAGAAGGAACAAAAAAATAATTTTTAAAAAAGTTTACAAAAAGAAATTTTTTGCCAACGATCAGATATTATTATTATTATTATTATTATTATTATTATTATTATTATTATTATTATTATTATTATTATTACTATTATCATTATTATTATTATGCGAAAGCTCATAAAAATAATCGAAAAAATGTAATGATCGAGACGCGACGAAAGCATCCGTGATACGTGCGCATAATATATATAAGGACGCCGCCGGTTTTCTAACTATAAAGACGTTCATTCTCGAGGCGGTCGTCGTCTCGATATATTCTCTCGACAATTTGTTATGCATGCTCACGATGAACGAAAATTGCATTTAATTCGACGCCGTGGTTCTTTCGTCGTCGACGATCGACGACGACGACGAAGACGATCGACGACGATCAACGATCAACGAAAACGACAACGATCGACGAAAACGACGAAGACGCGTCACGAGAGATCTTTCGAAAGAAAAGAAAGAGAAGATATAAGTGAAGCGAAATAAAAAAAAAAATATATATATATATATATGCGTGTGCGTGTGTGTGTGTGTGTGTATGTATATCAGAAAAAAAATTATATATATATATATATATATATATATATATAAAAAAAGAAAAAAAAAAATAAATAAATAAAAATAAATGTTATGGGGTATAACGAAAATGGGGACGACGTAGATAGTATAAAAAGGGACGTAGGGTGCATAAATGTAGATGTTCCATTTAAAAAGCCATTTTCGCGTGTTTAGCATAATACGTAATCGCGCGAACCTCCTCCTCCTCCTCCTCCTCTTTTTCCTCCTTCTCATCCTTCTTTTCCATCACCATCGATCGGAATTATTTTATCGGTCGTTCGTCCTGAATTTCTACGTAGTCCTGTCGTCTTATATACAATATATTCCTGTTGTATACCAAACGATGGATCCTACGGAAAGTGAGGAAAGAAAGAGACAGAGATAGGAGAGAGACAGAATGTGAATGAAAATGAGAATGAGAGTAAGAGAGAAAGAGAGTAAGAGAGTAAGAGAGAGAGAGAGAGAGAGAGAAAAAATAATGTCGAAGCTATCAGCAAGGATCACGTTCCCCGAACAGTTTATATCCCTTCTCGTGTAAACGAGCCATGAGGTGGTTGTTTTTGGTAGGAGAAAAGTGGCAGAGTCAGAGCGAAGAGAAGAGACGAGGGGAGGGGGGAGGCGGAGGGAGAGGGATGAGGTCGAGGGAGAGGGGTGAGGGATGAGGAGAGGGGTTAGGGTGGTATAAATATTCCTTGCACTTTCTTTTGTTGCATCTTCTTGCGCCTTTTACACTATAAAGGAGCCAATATACTAGTGGATTAAAAGTGAACGAATGATTATTATGATGGGGGAAGTTAGGGTATACTCTAAAGCTGACGTTCAGTTTACGACGACGTAAAATTACGTTGAAGAGATACTCTTTCAGTATTATCTTTTCGAACCCCTCCCCGCCCTCCCCACCCCGCCCCTCATTCTCTCTTTTTCTCTCTTCCCGTATTTCTTTTCCCTACTCCTTCTTCCTTCCCCTTACTCCGAACATCTTCCCCTTCTTTTCATACTAACCCATAAAAAGGATGATACTGTTGGTATTACTACGATCTCTCATCGTGTATATTATTAACGGGTCATTTTCTATGGATAATGAAATGAATTTAATGTATGAATTATTTCTTTTTTTCTTTTTTTTTTCGTCGATTATCATTCTTCCGTTCGTTCGAAATTTATTTTTTTTTTTCTTTTCTTTTCTTTTTTTTTTTCTTTTTTTTTTTATTTTTCTTCTTTACTTCTCATCCATTTTCTTCTTTTACGTGTTCTTATCAATTATTTCGAATGGGATATTTGTTTTTGTTAAAAAAAAAAAAAAAGAAAGAAAAAAAAAGAAAAGAAAAGAAAAGCAAAGAAAAGAAAAAAGATAAAAAGAAGGAAATTGTATTTTCTTTCTTTCTTTTCTTTTTATTTTTTCTTTTTTCTTTTTCTTTTGTTAAAAAAATATCCCAACAGTTCTATACGATCGTAGAATTGTTACAAAAGTAATTGCAATTAATGAAAATAATTCGTATTTCGTTATACCGACGTAACGAGGGAAATATTTCTTTCGTTGATTGATAAAATTTGAAATCTTCTTTAATACAACTACATATGTATATTGATGTTTGAATTAATGTAAATTCTCTAAAGCTAGTAATATGAACAATATTATATTTAACATTAATTAATTATTAATTATTGTACATTAGAATAAAACAGGAAATATTAAATTATGAAATTTTATCAAATTGGTCTAAGTAACGTTACAACGATTACAAATATATTCGCTTTTGTATACATTCAATTATTAAAATATCAAATTATATCAAATGGCCTAAGTCACATCATTAGAATAATGTACGATGCATCGTGTTAATTTCATTAAATGATTAATTAATTAACTCTTAATTCTTAATTCTTAATTCTTAAATGATTAATTCTAATATAATTTAACGAATAGACTCGATGACGATAATTTTTGCATTTGACAATTGATAATCAAATAAGTGTGTATGTGTGTGTGTGTTAGTCAATTATTCAAAACTTAACCACGTTATCGATGTATACCTAATCAAGAAGAAGAAGAAAGAAGAAAAAAATAGGACAAAAAAAAAAAGAAGAAGAAGAAATAAAAAGGAAGAAAAAAAGAAAAGAAAAACGAAAAAAGAAGAGAAAGAAACAAAACAAAAAAAAAACAAAAGAAAAAAAGAAGAAGGAAGAAAAAACAGACCGATAGCAGTTTAACTTTATATCGCTGGTAGACTCGTCGTGAAATTGGCCTGCCTGGATACGTTTGTTTATGAACCCTCGAAATGTTCTGCGGTGATAGTTTTCGGTGATAGGAAATTTCAATGTGGACGAGTAGACGAGCTGCGGTTTTCCAGTTCGCTTCAGTTCACCGGCATAGCTCGACCCCTGTTTCGTTTAAATATTCCATAGCAATGCCGTCACCGTTAACGCGTTTCAATCAGTCTGCGAGTAAATGGCGATCCCGTTCGTTCTGGCAACCCTTTAAACAATTTCGTTGGCTCTGCGATACAACGTTACCCTTTCGTTTAATCGTTCTCAATTTTTCTCATCCCTTACGTATGTACGTAACAAATAAAAAAAAAAAAAAAAAGAAAAAAAAAAGAAAGCAACGATACCATTTGAAATTGATTAACAAGCTTATATATTTGAATTATTAATTGCTTGTAAATATTCGTGAATAAAAAAAAACAGAAAAATATTAATTCAATTAATACAATTAAATAAATAAATAACAAAGTAAATGGAAAACAAAAAGGAATAAATAATAAATATTATTTTTATATTATAGAATTTCTATAATTATTTATTGGCCTTATTGTTATTAGAGTGATATCGATATTAAAGGGATGATAATTAATATGAATAGTAATGATAATATTAATATTATATAATAGTATTTATATTTAAAAAAAAAATTATTATTAATAAAATAATATATTTATTATATATACATATACATACAAATAATATAATATATTATATTAATATATTAATTATTTACATGTATATGCATACACTCTTTCCATATATATTGATATACAAATATATTAATTATATATAACTAATATAAATCTTTCTTTAATAATGAAGATTTGGAAAAATAATGTTTTAACTATTAATTCTAAATAATATTAAAATTTTAATTAAAACTTTATATCCAAATAAAATGATAATAATAAACTAAATAAATGACGATAATAGAAAAATAAATAATATAATCATTAAATTGTATAATATTACTAAATAATGTCGATATGTTTAAAATTGTATGTCTCAAATTAAAATAAAAATATCTTAATAAATGAACATTAGTATGAGAAAAATAATATAATAGGAATATTCAATTTGTAAATAATTGTGAATAAATTTTTTAAAAAGATACTATCGTCATTCATTTAAAATATAAAATAAATGAAAATATTAACGTTACTTACAAGCAAAATTTAATATTTTTATTGTCGGCTATGATTTGTGTTTATTTTGATAAAACGTTCTTAGTTTTTCTTTGATTTATTTACTCTCAATGCCGAGAAATTCTTTAAGACGTCTAATACTAATCGTCACACGGTTTAGAAAGTGTTTCATAAATAAAACGTGTACGTACGTGTAATATCATTTCTGATTTAATATTGTCTACGTAAGAGTTTCAATCATTTTATACATCGATGTTTCTTTCTTCTTATTTATTTAAAAATTAATCGTTCACCAAGGAATACAGCATTTTATATAATAACAACGTTAATTATATTTTTCAGTTAATAATTAAAAATATAATAATAAGAATAAAGATAAATAAAAGTATCTTAAAATAAAACATAAATATATGTATGTACTTTCTTATGGTTAAGATTATAGGACAATTATTTTCATTATATACCATAATTTACTGTAATTATTTTCATAATTAGACGAACGGGAGCAAAATAATTCATTACAAAAAAAAAAAAGAAAGAAAAAAAAAAAGAAAAAAAAAGAAGAAGAAAGAAAGAAGAAAAGAAGAAGAAAAAAAATTCACAAGCGCGCATAACG